AAAATATCTCCTACTGTTTTTATAAAAAGGATGAATAAATCAGGTCTAGACGAGTGGTTCAAATTTTTTTTTGTTCCTTAAACTTCTTTCAGCAACAAGTGAACCTCTAGAGTAACTGAATATACTATCCATAATATTCTTTTAGATTCATTCTCTAAGTTTTTACAATAACTACAATGATAATTTTTACCAAACAAGTTCCAAATTAAAATTTACATTAGAAATATATCTATAAAATAGACATTTTTATTCAACCTACAGTTAGGAAACCTCTAAATACAAAATTATAAAATTATTATGATTATTTTATGTGTGATATTATGTAAAAATTAAAAGAAGTAATCCAGTCAGACATCATATGCTTACTATTATCTGCAAGATTTCAAATTAAGTTTTTTTATTTTACAAATTTTGTTGAATATAAATAACATCTATTTTAATGAAGTAAATTGCAGCTTTGAAGATGTTTAGCATAATATAATAATCATACATTAGCTTTATTTCAATATTGAACTTTTAATTTAAATGAAGGTTTGTAACATTTGGCTCAACACCAGACAAATATAGTCTTAAATATGGTTCCACATTGAGTTTATTTCTATATTTTGATTCAAATAAAGCAAGAATAAAATGAAAATGCTTATTTCATACAAGTATTCTGAGAGAGAAAATTTTATTTCTGTCCATTTTTATCCACTTTGCCAATTGTTGGAAATGAATAGCTCATTATGATGTGAAATATTTTCTTTTCTACTGGCTAATGAAAAGAATATTAAATGGTAAATGTATTTAAAAGTTCAATTATATATATATATAGATAGATAGATTCATTTTAAACAATGTTTATATAGAAACTAAGTTTTGCAAAGAAAGACATCTCTTCAGACATGACTTTGTTCTCTTTAACTACTGGCATGCTGGTTGCACTTTCACAGAAACTCCATTGAACAATTGACCAATTTTGTCAAACAGTTCATTTGAAAATTCTCCAGATGGAAGAATAGTAATATACTCAGAGGATAAGTTTACATCTAAAAACAGCCTTAATATTACAATGAAAGCTAACATAAGGTTGTTTCTGCAGAACATTTTTGATGATCCATGATGGTTTTAAGATGGCTTGTAATGTACATGTCCAGCAATCATGGTTTCAGTCTAACATGTGGGTTATAAGAATGCAAATAGTCATAACATCCTGATCACATGATTATACAGCTGATAAGGTACAATTGCAAAGTAACAGAGGGGAATGAGAGAGCTACTCTGGTTTGGTGTCCAAAATGTAAATGAGGGTACGTGCATGCATCTGACCATGTTTTGGGAACTGATTTGTGTTTGAAAGTTTAACCCTTGTGGTAGTTTGCAAACAATTTGATGGCAGGTTGAAAAACTGCAAAAACAAATTGTGCTTAGTCAGAGGTGTCATATTTTGATGTAATAGTTGCATGAACACCAAAATCACTGTGTGCATAATCATGATGGTTTTAAATCATTACAGAAACAAGCCTATAATGATTTCAACAAGCATGTGATTATTGTCAGAGGGAAAAATATATTTGTAACTTAATTGGGTTCACAAACCATTAAATAAGTACTATTAAACAGTAAAATAAAATAGATTTATAGTGGGTTGAATGGCCAGACTCAAAAAGTAGTGATTAATGTAACATATCAACTTCGAAGGAGTCTCTGTTGGTATGGGTTGCTAGATCTTTGACCCAGTGCTATTTAACATTTTTATCAAAGATTTAGATAAAGGCATTCCTATCAAATTTGCAGATAACACAAAGTGAGGAGGAATAGCTAATACAAGGTGTAATAGAGACAGGATGAAAAAGGATCTTAACAGTCTAGAACTTACAAATTACCTAATAGGATGAAAGTTAATAGGGATAAATTTAAAGTAATATTAGGATTCAAGAAATCAAATTCACAAATATAGGAAAACTTGGTAGACAGCAATTTGTCTAGGGGTCTTAGTAGACTGCAAGTTTAATATGAATTAATAGCATAATATGACATCCAAACACGTTCTTATCAACCACTAGAGTTCATTAAGAGAAGTATAGTTCTAGGACTAAAGAGGGATGCCTCCCCTCTGCTCCCCTGGCCAGACAATATCTAGATAATTGTGTTCAGTTCTGGGCACCATATAGAAAGGACATTGATAGACTGGAGATTGCCCTGAAGAGAACAATCAGAATCGTGGAGGGCCTTGAGTTCACAGGATCAGCTGGAGATACTTAGCTTGAAGAAGAGAAAGCTGGGGTGATTCAGGTGGGAGTGGGGAAAGGAATTGAACATATTGACTGTCTTCAAATACTTGAAAGGCTGTCATTTCAAGAAGGGTTAGGCTTTTCTGCTTGCCAAAGGGCACAACTAGTAGCAATGAGTGAAAGTCCCAAAGAAGCAAATGTGGGCTTGATGTTAAGAAAAATCTCCTTGCACGTAGAGTTATGAAAAAGTAGAATGAGCTGCTTCAGGAGGTAATGAATTGCTCTGTTAATAGAAGTCTTCAAACAGAGGCTGTATAATCACTTTGAGGGTATTTTGTAGTGGGGATTCTTTTTTGGGTATGATTTGGACTAGATAGCTGCTGAGATGCTAGCCAACTCTGAAATTCTGTTATTTTGTGATTCATTGCCAAACTTCTGGAAAATTGTCCACATCTGATGCTTTTACTTCCTGACAACTCACTGTTTCCTCAAGCCAACGCAATCTGACTTCTATTCTCACCATATTAATAGAAATATTCTCTCAAATATTACAATGACCTCCCAATTACTTAATCAACTGTTTTAAAAGTCCTGTTCCTCCTTGACCTCATTGCATCATCTGACAAGTTTAACTACTTTCTCCTACTAAATAGTTTCTCCTTCTTTGGCTTCAGATACAACCTTCTTTGTACCTTCCTAACTGGCCTCTTCTTGGCTCCCTGGTCCTCATCCTTTTCCCAATCCCTTAATGTGGGTACTCCTCAATGTCCTGTCCTTATTCTTCTCTTCTTTGGGAATCTTGTTCATTCCCATGACATCAATTATCACAAGTTTACATATCATCACTAAATTTATATTTCTAGCCCTGATCTCTTTTGTAAGTTCCCACACATGCATCTCTATTTGACTGAGTCAACTTTTACTTGGATGTTCTATTAGCACCTCAAACTTCACATGTGAAGCTTCTTATCTTTCCTCCAAAACCTACCACTTCTTCTGACTTCACTATTTCTGTTAGCAACACCCATAAGTCAATCAATATTCTGTTTTTGAAACTTTGCTGTTATCTTTGAATTTTCCCTCTCCCTTAATGCACGGAACCAATCAGTTACCATTTCTCTCTTCTATTCCTGCAATCTCTCTTGCCTCTGCCATTCCCTATTATCATTGCTACCCACTCCCCCCCACCCCCAGTTCAGGTTCATGTTACCAATTCCCTGAACTATTGTAGTAGCCTCCCAAGAAGTCTTCCTTCCCATTTCTCTCTCTTTCATCTACCCTTCAGATAGCTATAAGATTGATTGTATTTATATACAGATCTAATCATTCAACAAGCATTTCAATTCAATAAGCATTTATTTATTAGTCATGTACTCTGCTCAAAACCCATTGGTGTCTCCCCATTACTATTGAATAAAGTTCAAACTCCTTTGTTTGGCATTTGAGGCCTTCTGAAATCTGATGACACTATTCTTTCCTGCTTTATTCCCTATTACTACATTGTCTCACATATATACTCCTGTATTCTCCTTCCTCCATGCCTTTGCTAGGCTACCTAGTGAATACCTATGCATCCTTAAAAGGCTAATTCACACTCATCCAGAAAGCTTTCCCTGATCCTCCCAGTCAGAATTTACATAACACTTAATTGGCATTTTTTTCATACACTTATCATACATTATTATGGAATATAAGTTAGTCCAAGTGTCATATCTTTCTATGAGACATATCTCTATGAGATAGTTGTGTCTTAAGCTGAGATTTTACATCCCAGTCTATTATCCTCACATAGCACTTTGCCTTCAGCTAATTGTTTAATAACTTATTTTTTAAATGAATATACAGAATATAATTTAATCTTTTATCAATGCCATATACAAAGTAGATGTTCAATAAATGTTTAATTGAATACCCAAAGGTTATCATTATGAGCCTCAATAATTGTATTATACTGAACTATAAAATAGTGGTGCTCTCAAGGTAAGTGAGATATATAAGGTATGCATTTTCCATAGTAAATTTCTTAGACTGCAATGTTTTTTGAGTTCTTATTTCTGCCTTTTGTAGTTTTGCAGTTTTCTCCCTAGCTTTTGTGCTTTCTCTCAAGTATAGTTTGTAGTATGTGGCTTTTGAGGTTCTTTTCAACTTGAAATCCTATGATTTGATGAGCTTTCTCCCATATTTCCTTTTCCCTAATAGCTGCTTATAATCTGCTATAGTCTAATAAATGTAATAACAAAGTTTATTAGAACTGTGTGTGAAATAAGTACAAAGGTCTAAGAGAGGCCTGTGGGGCTGTCTTCTGAATCAAGCTCCTGACTTTAGGCCTCAACACTACAGCCTGGTGTACTGGAAAAAATAAGAATTTGGAGTCAGAAGGTTTGGTTTTGACTTAACACCTGTGTGACCTTGTCTCAGTCAGTTGACTTCTCTGAGGCTCAGCTCCTTTACGTATTTGAGGCCATTTTCATTCACTTTCTGGTTCTTAATTAGCAGATAAGGGACTTCACCCAAAATGGGAAGTGTTATTATACATATGATTAAGAGAGAGTCACTTTACCACAGCCCGGTCAACATTATTTTATTTCATGAAATCATAAATTAAAATTGTGAAACATCACCATCTCAGTCTGAGTAAAATCACCTAATCACCTATAAATTTTAATACTGCACAGTGTGACTTATTAGAACCTAGTCTTAACATTTACATGTATTCCATGTGAATCAAACAGAATGGCAGTGTTCTAGTGCTATGGTCTGTTATAAGAGAGAATGTACACAATATCATTTAAATATGTTATCCTTTATTACAAGCAAAGCTTCCCAGAAAATTAATTTAAGAGAGAACACTCCAATTCAGTAAATACAGAAAAGTACACACACACACACACACACACACACACACACACACACACACACACAGAGCCTGTGTCTGTTTTCCTTTTGAGGACAGGAAGGCTCAATTTAAACAAATAAATAAATAAAACCCAGAACTCCTAAAATGCACAGCATGAGTTACAGGGAAGACTGGAAACCATAAATGATGTGAGTAACTCTACTTGATTATGACAGGAAGCCAGCATGTGGAATCTTCATGGCGAATAAACATCTTTCATTTCTAGCATTATATCATTCAATTCCAGGAAACCATTATCATAATCTGAAATACATAAGTAGGTGAATGGCTACAAGAACTATTGGACAGTCAGATTTACAGTACTCGGTTTTATTTCTTCTGAATTGTGCTAAAGACTGAATCTTAAGGCACTGCATAGAACCTGAATTCACTGGAATGCTCAGGGAGTGGTATATCCTGGTTAGTTGAACTTTATGGTTAATTGAAGATTATAGAGATAGCTTTTCCCCTTCAATACTCCCCCTACAACTTTGGGTTCCAATGTTGTTTAAAAAAAAAATCTTTCCAAAATGTATTAGGCCACTTTTTTTCCTTAGAAAATATGGTAATGAATATTATTTAAATGACAGAAGATTTAGAAGTGTTTGGGGGGAGAGGTGATAATTTTCGCCATCAATTCTTATGATAGATTATTATAGTTACAGATGTAGAAGGCATAATAAACTGAGTTGAATGTGTATGGACACAGGGGTATTTTCAAGAATTTGCCTTAAAATTAAAAAGGACTAAAGTCTAACACGTACTTTGTTTTCAGGGGATTTTTCTCTTTTTGGTTATATGAAGAAGAGAAGTCTAGTTAAAGTAAGATATTGGTGAATGGAGGTTTTATCTTGATTTTCTCAAAACTGTCAATACTACTCAATGGGTATGATGAAAAGGGTACTAACTTTTGAGTCAGAGAACCTACGTTTGAATTGTAGCTATTACACTTATCACCTTTGTGCTCTTGGACAAATCACTTAACCCCTCTAGACCTCAGTTCCCTCATTTGCAAAATCCTAGCCTAAGTCTATCATTCTCATAAGCCAATACACAACTAACATAAGGAGTGATTTTGTACCTTTATGCCACAAACTTCTTTCTGCCCAGTGCAAAACCCTTGGTTGCCTCTAGAAAAGCATTGCCCCTAGGTTTAAGGAGCTCATATTTTAGGACAAATAAAGTATGTGCATAAAATGAATGAATGAATGAGAAAGCACTTACTGAGCATTTACCATATGCAAAGCACTGTGTTAAGTGGTAGGGACCAACACAGAGAAGACCTTCCTTGCTCTCAAGGAGCTTACATTCTAACGGGAAAGACTAGGATAGGGGAGGCTTCAGTTGCATGGGAGATGGAAATGTAATGCTTCTTTATTTATGGCATTCTTACTGGTAAAATCCTATCATTTTCTGATGTTCGACTGTTTGATGACCAGCTATGGCTCAAGTACTCATACAGGCAGTTGCTAAGTCACCTCTCCACAGAGGGCTATGGTCTAGGGACACTGCTTCTCCTAAGGTCCTTGGTTTCAGAGTACTGGGCTATCTCTACTGGGATCTTTGGGGAAGTGGTGGTTAAGGTAGTAGTGATATTTCAATTCACCTGGCCCACATCACTCCCTGACTCTCTCTCAGGGTGCTTGGCAGCCTCAGCTGGGGCTGGCTTGCTTACCTCACAGATGGCAATTGGTCAGCACTTGGTGGGATGGGCTGGCCTCTTCTCCATTATTTTTTCATATTATGGCTGCAGGATCTGAGCCAGAAGCAGGACCAGTGGCCTGAAGGGATGCCGCCACTCTCAAAGCTCTTGGGTTTACCTGTCAGTTGATGACACTTGGTAAAAAAAAAAAAAATCAGTGTTACACACACACACACACACACACACACACACACACACACCGCTTGAGGAACTGCGGTGCTGGGCCTCCAAGGGCTAGGGTATTATGCCATTCTCTTCTACACTAAGGGGACCCTATGTTCTAGATCCAGGAATGGAGTTGAACTATCTTTAGCCCTGGGGAACCCTGGCTTCTAATGAGAAGGATTTGGCTCCCTTTTCTCACATTCTTTGTCTTGTTAAACACCTACCCCAGCACTTTGGAGATGATTTCACTCATACATTAGATTATGGTTCTGTGTTTTCCCCAAATGTGGGAGAAAAAAGAACTCTATCTACAATATGAATCAGATATGGAATAAGAAAGTTATTCCTATACTCTCCACAGGTGCAGGAGAGGATTGAAGGAGGGAGATAATTTAGAACTGAAAATAATAAAAATAAAATAGATAAAACAAAAGAAATACTAACTGTATAAGACTTATAGGGTACATTAACAGAATGACTTAAAAAGAGGAATAATTTAATATAAAACTGCTGTTAGAATCTGCCTTATTAGAACATAAAGCAATTTACAGGACTGTTAATTAAGCACTTTATATTTCACCTTGTTTACATAGTTCATGTTTGCTGGCAAACAGGCCAGGCTTATGCTACTTCTATTATTTGTGACCACCCTCTCCAAGAATACTATAATATTTACTAGGGTCTCCTCCCCTGCCATCCATCATTCAGTTCCAACCCACAACAACAACAAACAAGGAAACTAGGTGGCTTAGTGGATAGAGTGCTGGTCTGGACTCAGGAAGACCTGAGTTCAAATTCAGCCTCAGACACTTACTAGCTGTGTGACCCTGAGCAAGTCACTTCACCTGTTTGCCTTAATCCATAAGAGAAGAAAATGGCAAACCATTCTAGGATCTTTGCCAAGAAGACCCCACAGACAGCATTGGTGTGCTATGGTCCACGGGGTCATGAAGAGTTGGACATGACCAATGGGACCCAATTCCTCTGGGGCCTCTTGAAGTCACAAGACTGCCCTCAAGTCTAAACATGTACAACTCAGAGTACTCATTCAATGAAAATCAAGAAATAACAAACACAGAAGCAGAAAAAGAGGCCAGGGATTTGGGCACAATCTCAACTGGTTGAGTCTCCTTAGACTAGTTGCTGGGTGGCTGAGATTGCCATAATGTTAAGATAGAGAGAGTCAGTGCTTCCCCACCCTTTACTGATAGTTTTGGATCTGTATGATGCCATATAGATTGTCAAAGTAAGAATGGCTGAGCTAAGAGCTATTTCTTCTTTTAGCTGACAAAGCATCCTGACACTGTAGGGAAGAGTACCAAGGGAATACTCAGGATTTACTACGTCATACCAACGTGCAAAGTGCTACCAGAGATCTCAGAAGGAAAAAAACTCAAAGACCTTGAACAGAAGCAGATGAGCGAAGAGGAAAAACATTAATAATGAAGGAAATATGGCCTTCACATCTAGTAAACAAGTTAAGGAATCCATGAATAAATACTGCCAAACAAAGGGAAATGATTCAACACTTGATGAGATGGAGGACCCTGTGGAGTTTGGGAAGAATGTGGAACCACAACACAGTTCCTGAGTGGTTTAAAAGAGAAATAAGCATTGTGAGAGAAGAATTTATGATCTGTACATCAGAAATAATTGACAGAAGAGAAAAATTTGAATCTACCATGGCAAGTCTCACCAAAGAAACAAAAGAGAGGACAACTGACTGAGAATGCAAATATACAGAAGTGAAAGATAATCTAGAAGAAGAGAAGCAAAAAGCAATAATATTAAAAGAAACGTTTTCTATTCAGGCAAACATATTCATCTTGAAAACAGGATGCATAGAGACAAATTAAGGATAACAGGTCTCCGAAAAGAACATGAGAAGTCAATAACATAAGAAAACTGCCTGGAACTTCTGAACATAGAAGTCAAAGTGCCAACTGAAAGAATCCACAGATTGCCTCTAAACACAAATGCAAGGCTGCAAACTTCAAGACACACAGTGGTTAAATTTAACAATTCATTTCAGAAAAAAACAAATTCTCCAAGTGACAGAGAAGACCTTCAATGCGAAGGAAAGAAAATTTGAATAACACAAGACTTTTCTGCACCCATAAGAAAACACAGGAGGGAGTGAAATGACGTGTTCTAAAGAGCAATGGAGCTCAGGATGCAGAACATGGTAACCTATCTTAACTATAAATAAAAAAAAAAAAAGATGGACATCCAAAAAGCAACAGACATTCAAAACACTCTTAAAAAGAAAACTGGACATGGAGAGATTATTTGCTTCTGGTACACCCCCGACAACAGAAATGTAGGAATGAATGACTATAGCAACTAAGGACAGCAATAGCAATAGAGTGACAGGAGAGAGAGACCAGTAAGAGATTTCTTTCTAAATGTACACAAGTCAGGAATCAGGTGGATGTGATGGTGTAGATACAGGCCTGGGGAATTATGGAGAGAGCCTTGCCACACTCCACCTAAGGATGAATCAATGCCTTTTGCTTGTTTGCATGTTATTATTGTTGTTGTTTTTGTGAGGCTAAATTTCAAAATCAGAAGGTACATGAAAGATAAGAGTGGAGGAGGAAGATCAAGCAGTAGTGTGTGACGTGACCTGGTCTAGTTGAGGGTTAGCAATGAAGGGAATGTAACTCCGTTGGTCTTTCAGGAAAAGAAGAGCCTGCAGGGGAGTGGGTAATAAAGCAGGGTGAAGATAAAAAAAGAGGACAGAAGGAAGGAGGCCTTACTTTGGAGATGGGATGGGGTTTTACTGATGAATGTTCTCATGTATGAAGAGGAAGCATGAAGGGAGATGCCAAGTGTTATCAGCAGAAATTTGGTGCTTGAAAAGACCACTCATCCTGTCTCAGAAGAGGAGGAGTTGGAGCTCCTGGCAACAACTAGTGCCTGGGGAATGGGAGGGCATCAATCCAAGGAGGAGATTTTTGAATCAAATGGGAATAAATAGTAACCAAGGGGGTGGGGGATTGTCCTCTCTTTTGTTTCTTTGGCATAAATAGTAACCAAGTCAGTGGTGGGCAGTATAATTAATAACACTCTGGGGGGATTTTGCCATGAAGAACTACCCTTTTAAACACCTGCGGAAACTGGCATATTTCTGGGAGGGAAGCATGATGGAAAAGAGGAATCCATGGAACAAGCTCTATAAGGCAGTGGCAGAACTGCTTAGGTGGAGAGCCCAGAATGAGTACCTTGAAAGTTCTGACTCCATGAGGCATACAAAGAATAGAGAGGGCCTAGGTGAATGCAGGAGCTAATGCTACCCCTTTCTCTTTGGAGTTTTGCTTATAAATTCATTTTTCCTACTTGTAGCTTGTCATTTAAATCTCCTTTCTCCCCCTCAGTCCAGTAGATTCCCCATTCCTCTCATCCCTTTCAACTAGTCCTGTTCATTAGTTTTTAAAATTTTATTTTTTTCATTGCTTTCTAGATATGATTTTTCTGTCTATTCTAGATGGAACTCCAAGACTCAGTGTTTATTAAAGTAAAAAACATAAATTACCTAGGAAAAATCTCCTTATTTGATAAAAACTGCTGAGAAAACCAGAAATCAGACTGGCAGAAATTAGCCTTAGAGTACCACCTAAAACCATATTCCATAATACTCTCTAAGTAGATACATGACTCTAATATTAAAGATCATACTACAAAAAAATTAAAAGAGAAACAGATCATATAATTCTCACAGTTATGGAAGCATGTGTATTCTTAATTAAACAAGGAATGGAAGCGATTACAAAAGATAAAATAGATAACTTTGCTTACATGAAACTGAAAAGCTTTTTGCATAAACAGATTTAATGCATCTAGGATAAGAAGGGAAGTGGTTGAATGGGAAAAAAATTTTTTTCATCATTCTTTTCTGATAAGGGTTTGGTATCCAAGATACATAAATAACAAATAAATAAACAAACGTGTGTGTGTGTGTGTGTGTGTTTACCTCAAAGAAACCATTGATAAGAATAAAGTGCCTATATACAACAAAATACTTATAGCAGTGCTTTTTGTGATAGAAAATAACTTGAAACGTATATGCTCATTAATTGGGGAATTGCCAAACAAATTGTGGTTACATAAATGTAATGGAATGTTATGCTGTAAGAAATGATTAATGTGATGAATACAAAGAAACATGGAAAGATCTACATGAACTGATGCAGAGTGAAGTAAGTTAAGCCTAGAAAACATTATCTGCAATGACAACAATGTAATTGCACAGAACCACCATACAAAAAATCAAAAGTGAACGTAGCAACATTATAAAGATTAAGCATGGCTCAAATGAAGAGATATGAAAGGACACCCCCAACTCAACCTTTCGTAGAAGTGGAAGATTCACAGGTGTTGTACCTGGCACATGTTTTGGGACTTTTTCAATGTGTTGATCTGTTGTGCTGATTCCTCTTCTTATTCTTTCCTGTTTTTGTGATTTATTATATGGGATGGCTCTTTGGGAGGCACTGGGAAAGGACACTAGGGGAAAGTATGATGATGCAATAAAGGACATCAATAAGAACTTATTTTTAGAAAATCATTCCTCCATTTAACTACAATTCAAAATAGAATTGTATAGGTAAATGCATAATACAAACAAGATGCTATGAAGTTTCAAAGAGAGAGAGATCACTTTAGACTGGAGTGATTAGGCAGGTAGCATGGAAAAGGTGATATCTGCATTGAGCCTAAAAGATGGGTAAGGTTCCAATAGGAAAAGATGGGAGAGTGGGTAAACATGAAGCAAAAGCATGAAAGAAGCAAAGCAAGAGAGAAACATGGTCTGGTTTGGCTGGAGTCTACAGTATATTAAGACTGGAAAGCTAGACTGGATCCAAATTGTGGAGAGCCTTGAAGAGTTAGCTGGGGAGTCTGGACTCAATTTAGTAGGCCATGGAATGACTCTAAGCAGAAATATGGAAGTCAAGAAGGAGAGGTATTG